CCGCGCTGGCTTCTTGTTATTGTAAGGGATTAGAGCCAGTTTTGTCTTCCCACGATGCGTATTGTTGAGCAGCGGCGAAGACCTTTCACTGCGACGCGTTCCGGGTGCTAGATAGGAAATAAAAATGTCGGAAAATGCAGGACGTTTCATTCATGACAAATTTGTGTATTATGTGCTCTTCGCCATTGCTGTCGGGGGCAAAAAAAACGAGTTTTTTATGAGTTGCCAGCTCTCTAAAGTTCATAATTTGTCTCTGTGTTTGGACATTTTGTTCCATAGAAATGTAAACAAAAGCGACGTTTCTTACTTAATTTCTTTCATATGTACGTAAACTACATCAGTTCAGTAAATATTCACACTCTAGGTAAATTATAATATTTACACGTATTTACATAGTATAAAGTTATGTTTCTCAATTAAAGTAACTCAACCAAACTATATTTGGTTGCCAAATTTGAAGTTCAATACATATGAAGTAAAACAATATACGAATTATACGATATTAAGATATTTCAACAAAAATGTGACATACACCTTTTTTAAGTGTACTTTGCTCTATCCGAAAAAAACCTAAAAAAAATTCAATTCATTTTTGAGAAAATTTTGAAAATGTTGTTAAGGAACTATGTAAAGTACCCCGAAAAATTAAAATATTCGTTTCAAGTTCGCATTGTCACGTGTTTTGCCAGATCAATGAGAAATATTAGTTTTGGCGAAAAATGCGTGTTCGATTTACTCACGAGCGTTGACCACAGTTGGGATTTTTTGCCGTTAACCACTTATGCAGCATCAGGGAATTTCAAAACGTGGATTCTAACTATTCAACGTTTTAGATGAAGTAATCTACTACATATATAAGAACAAGATTTATTCACGTTTTGTATATTAGGGCCCCAGAATTCTGATAAAAAATCGCCCCTTTCTGCTGCAGTACAAAACTTTCTGTTTACTGCGTAAGAACGTAGTAGAAGGAAGTAAAACTAATACAAAAGGAAATGAAGATATGCTTGATGTATCTTTATTAATTCATATTCAAAGAAAAGAAGAAAGGAAATCCAAGATAATTCTCACCGCGAAGATGACACGAGGAAGAGAACAGTGGCTGAGATTGTTAAGATCAAAGCGATCAATGTTCATTTGATTGAAGACATAAAAGCGAGTGACTACAATGTAGCTTATATTAGTAATTGAATATTATTAATAGAAGAAAATGCGACTGTGATTCCAAGAATAACAAAGATTCAGAATTTACAAATAGTTTGTTATTGTGACATATATAGACGAATTTATAAAATAAATCATTATATATAACCATAATATAAATTGGTAAAAACTTTACAGCTACAGTTTTTGAGGAAATTGCCACAGCTACCCTTTTTACACGGAAATCTTAACATTAAGTTTATAAATCCCGAGAACGCTCGAGAATTAAAAGATGAAATTTGACCTTTTTCGTGTCAATGACATTTACACTGGTACTGCCACTATCTTAACATTATCATTTTCATTGTTATACTTTATTCATGTGATTTTGGAAGAATCAAATATTTTATTTCCGATTGGCAATGCATTGTTAATTTTCGTCACTAACTCGAAACATTGAGAAAGAAATACTGAACTAAATGGTTGGGCTGAACATGAAATACCCTCTCACTCGTCGCCTGGTTAGATGAGCACCTTTCTCAATATCCACCGCGGACGAAGAGAAAGGACACCATCTGGTGACGAGCTGTTGCCGGGGGCAACAGCGGTTACTCGCCACACTGCCACTCCCTGGAAATAATGGACGTTACTTTAATGCAATTTCAGACAGAAAAGCGTCGAATTGGTGACGTCATGTCCGTTGCAATGTAGTACATGCAAATTGTTCGCTGAGCTCTCTGCACTTACCGTCGCGCCGCCGCCCTCCCGGCCGCTCGGCGAGCGTGCTTCCTTTTCCGCCGCCCCTCCTCGCCGCTGCGGGCCGGAAGCGCTGCGAGCGCGCCCTGGCGGGGCGGCGGAGGAGGGGAGGTCCGACAGCCCTTCCTCGACGCCAAGCACCCTCGGCAATTTTTAGCTGGCACAGAGGAAAGTAATAAAGATCTGTCCTGTGAAATATGGATATTTCTAATTAAAATCGTCCCGCCACATGTGTGGCAGGCCGAGCAAGTTAGTGGCTTGCTCTTTACAGCGCTCGTCGTGCACGTCACACTGTTCTGGAATTCAATTTCCAGCCTTAGAGAAAATGGGGTTGTAACCGTTTCTGTGGATAAAGCGAAATTGTGGCAGGGTGATATTCTTGCCCCCTACGCTTCACTTTATCGCTCGCCGCAAATGTGCTATTTCCTTCTTGATAGTTGGGTCGATAGCTTGATTCTCGCTTGTCTTGTTCCACTAAGCTTGTCATACGACAGGATTTCGGAACTGCAAGTCTCTTTAAACTCGAATCGCAAGTAATAAGTGAGTACACGTATCTGAGTACAAACGTTTCATTATACATTACCGTTTCATATGAAAACGGATGAACAATCTACGAAAAAAAACCACTCATACAATTTTATCAGTATTACTCTTAAAATATAGAATTAAAAAAGAATTCTGTCATATAGTTTATATGAAACCATATGACATACGATATCCTATATTGTTGTGCGAGGAGTCTGTGACAATGGTAGATAAATAGTTAGGTGTATTAAAAAAGTTTTTACAACAGTTATAATGTTATATTTGCATTAATAATTTCAATTTCAAAAGCAGAGAAACGAATGGCCTTTCTTAGTCTTACATTGAATTCATTTATTAATGTGTATACTGTGTTCAATGTTTAAATTACTCTATAAATAATAAATTGTATTTACTATTCGTAATGATGCAGTGCCTGCTAGAAATTTGAACAAAATATTTACTTGTTTTTCTAAACTACACGCTAACTTGCGAGTACCAAATGCTTAATGTCTCATCCTGGCTTCCGCTTGTCCGCAGTTGCTGGAGAACGAGGTGGACAAGTACAACAACGCGAACGTGCCCGCCGACCTCTTCGGGCCCGGAGACCGCGCTGGCTTCGTCTTCAAGCAGCGCCAGATGCCCGGGCGCGTGATGCTCGCCGATGAAGACCGGAAGTAAACGGGCGGCGAAGGCGGCGGCAGGCGTCGCGGCCGGCGCCCCGCCCCCGCGCCGCCCCGCCAAGTCTCGCCGCGCCCCGCCGCGCTCGCCGCGCCCCGCCCCTTCCCCGCCACGCCTCCTTCGGCTGCGCGCGGGGCGGACGCGGCCCGCGCGGCCGTCATCAGGGTAACTGCATAACCATCTGCGTCTCTTTTCGGTGTTTGTCAACTGTCGACCGGTGTCACAAATCCACCTGTTCATAAGCGCCAAATTGGAAGGTACGCCTCTGTAGTAGGAAAAATGTCGGCATTTAAGATGTCCTCTTATCCACATCTTCTAACAAGCTTTTTCAATCTATTAGTTTCTTGTCCAAATTCATCGCGGGTAAACTTGTCAACGCCTTACTATTAGAGTAGATTTCCCTTGTACGTTCTTTTGTGTAGCACTTTCTCTGTAAATTCTGTAGTGGAATGGTAAAGAAAGAGGTATTTAGCTCCCACATAGATAATAATATTTTAAAAAATTGCGGCTGGACCTTGATTATTAGTTTTGGGGTTTACGTTTCTTCTCCTGTAGAGTCGTGGGACCGGGATTGTGGCCGTCATGGCAATTTTTGTTCTTAATGTGACCCAGCAAATCTTACTACAGCAGAATTAAGAATTGGCAATAGAGGTTCTCAATGTCCAATTTGGTGCCTATGTTCATGTTTTATGTGTCTATTTCTTCCTCTTCTCGTTGTAATGATTGTGCTTTGGTACCAAAGCAAAACGAAGCAAAAGGAAAGAAGAGAACAGCGTCGGAGTGTCTCAGATTCATTCATATATTTGTGTCACTTTATGTGAAAAACTGTATGTTCCTTTATGAAATATACTTTGAAATATATTCAAGCGCACCATGCTTATTTTATAAACCCCGTCCCGAAATGTGATAATTACTCCTAAACACGTTGATATTCCAATCACTTGTCAATCATTCACTAGCAAATTTTTCCTTCCCAGCCCCCTCGTACATTTCATGTGTCCAAAAGTCATGAATTTATTAAACATAAAATTGCAAAGTTAGTGGCTGAGACGAACTTTAAGTACATGCCAAATATATTTCTGAAGATCAAATTCTATACCTGTATGGCGAATTAAAGACATTTTCAAGTTAATTTCTTCCTCATTGAAATAAGTTACATATGTTTATAATGATATTTAAGAATGTACCAAGAGAATTTACCTTACGGGGTTGTCTTCCAACACCCTCCAGCTTCTCCTAGAACTACTAGTAACTCAAATCATGCACACTAGTCGCTCCTCAGCTCAATTCATCTTCTTGAGAAATATGCCAAAACCTAGTCTTATACGTACAATTGCTTAAAAAGCGCAACAAAACCAACAAGCCTTTTAAAAATATACGTTCTTAGATAGAGAAGCAATGCACAAGATATTTATCCGAATAACATATTGCCTTCAATGTCCAATGGGGGATATTTCATTTCAGGTAAGAAACGAAATGCTGTAGTTTTAATGTATGCGTGTGAGCACGTGCTGAAGAACAAAGTGCTCGTATTTGGTAGGTATTGTGACCGTTATCATGTAAATTTACTAATTGAAGAAATTATTTATAAGAAAGCTGATACATGCAGTTCTCGAATAAATGAAAAAGGCCTTTGAGCATTCTAAATAATTTAATATATTTGTTGGGAAATAGTATACAAAAGAGCGCATATTTATCGTGCTAATACAGTTATACATACAAATATAGTCGTCTTGTACATAAAAATACTCGCATACTTCTTAATTTAAAATTATAATATTAAAATGACGCTGATACCTAACTACAAATCCTATACAGGGATTGGATTTACGTCGCCTCTATCCATTTACTCCCAGACTGCACGAAACCGCCAATTCACTACTACGATAGTGCCTATTACCACCGCAAAATTCGATCACATGCCCAAAATATAATTTTATGGAACGGCGAGTCAATTACTCAGCGTCATGTGCGAGTATACGCAAACATAACTGCGCAGATGAGCAGCGACTCTCCGTACGCCTTGCGCCCCATTACGCTAGTGCCTCCGGGGCTGCCGCTTTTCCCGTATGCAAACGAGCGGCCGTTACGGCGGTAATTTTACCTTCCACACACCAAGTGGTGCGACTTAGAACCGAGAGAACGCCTGCAGCATGCGTGTTCGAGAAGCTATCGTATACACTCAGTGAGAGCGAGGCACCACTTAACTAATACTAGTACTAGCACTAATCCAAACATACACGTTGAGTAATTATGCTAATTTTTGACATATTTGTACAGAGAATCGTCTATAAGTAGTGTTCATGATCATTAGTTCTCATTACAAGATAGAGAATAATTTTGTTATTTGGAAACCATACGCACAAATTAGAATTACATCGTAAATACAGATGCCCATCATGTCTCCCCGTATCATAGTATTTGCAGACAAACGAGTTGCTGTGGGGTGGTACCAGTTATGTTCATGGAGTCATTTACAAACCAGATATGAAGAAGGAGCGAGAAATATACGGATCCATTTTACGGAGTGGTTGTTGCAATCACTATGGAGACAATCACTATGAAGACAATTAATTCAAAGAAAGTAATCGATCAAATCATAATGAACAAGACCACAACTTGATACGAAATAGCAATAAAAGAATTAGGATATAGTGGCCATGATGCAACGCTTTTGCAATTATTGTAAACCCAAAAACCCACACATGAAATAATACACGTATGAGTATATTGTTTACTAAAAATAGAATAAAATTATTTATAGACTATTTGTTCCAAAAATCGTCGCACGCGGTTTACAATGCTTTTGTAATGAGCGACAAACACAATGCATTTTCTCGACGCGTTCATTTTACATAAATCTTCGGTGGTCGAATTACTGCTATAATGCAGTCTCATTTATTCGCTATTTACTGCAAGAGTTAATAAAATTTTGGTGTGGGTTTTTCAGTACCTTTCCCAGATGGCCCCATCACTTGAATTCTCGTAATTTATTAATAAAATTATTTCTGCGCTTGCAATAATTTCAGAATAGAGTTTGGATCAAACAGTAATCTGCATGATTACTTACGCCAGAATTTCTGGCCCACGAAGTCAACCGTGGCTCTGTGGATTTCGTGCGTTGTAAGGCTTAATGTGCAAGGATGTGATATTCGAATTCGCGAGAGTTTGTAGTGAGCAGTCGGTTCGAGTGAAATACTGGGTCCGACACAGGAAGAGGAAGAATGCATCGATGTTTCGAAAGGCAAAGAAAACAGTGGTGAAAGCTAATTCCTAGATTTAGACAACGACAGTAAATAAGAACAGAAGGTGAGTACTGAAGATGCAACTTTTGATGCACAGAAACTTTATAGGCCCAGACGGCAGTAAATTGGAATACATTTTCGCAATACCATTTCCTAATTTCGTGCAAAATATCCAGACTTCACTACGCTACCGCGCATTGTTTATGAACTATATAAAGTTCGCAAAATCTTCCTTACTACCAATGCGTACATAGAGAAGATCGGAACATATTATCAGAGGAAATGTGATATAAAATTTACTGATGAAATAAAACTGAAAGCTTACTTCGAAAACATTATCTCACTGGATTATCAAAATCGTGTGGATAAAGTACCATTGACATCTCGAAAACAGATGGAACTTGTATAGAAGAAATACATGTATTTAAACAACGGAACTCAACAAAAATGCGTAAATTCTGGGTTGTGGATGTGATCTGAACACACAAGGAAAACCTGTGTAAGTTAATAATCGACAGCAGTCACTGAAAAACTTTGAGAATATAGCCTCAAAATGTTTACCAAAATTTGACAACCTTCTTTATTTAAATGGCAAAGTTTATTAAGGACACTAAAAGCAGGGAAGATGAAATGTTGAAAAAACGCTCATATATTCGCTTATTAGATTATATTTATTTAAAAACAAAATACATACAAATTTGGTTAGCATTTCGTACCATTTGTAATATTTCAATTTAATAAATTGTGCAATAATTTGCGACTGATCACTGTTTCATGTAACCTTATCTGTCCTTATATTAACTAAAAGATGATTTGTTTATAACTTAATATTAATATTTTTTTTTCAAAAATGGACTACTGTTATAATTCACTCGACTAGTCACGTTACGATTTCGCGTGCCACCACTGAAACGTAACCTCTTAAACAAAGGAAATTAAATATTTTATGAAAATGCAAAACTTGGATAATACGAGGGATCAGAACAACATGTAAAGAATTTATTATTTATTTCATTTCTAACCGTCAAGACATATCTCATTCTTTTCACCCTACTCACCATGACCTCTACTCATCAGGCTCACCTTGCCTATTACTATGACGTCCATCTTAAGCTTCATTACAACTGATTTTACGGTTCTATCCAAAATAATCAGATGTGAGGAACGATTTAACGGGTAGCCATCTATTACAGTCTATTGAAAGAAAACTGTAATATTCGTTTTTAATAAGAGTGCATACTGTATCATTAACGCACTCCAAATGGAAGTAAGGATGAGGGGGAAAGTCTTCGTATCATGGTTGCGGAGACAGGAAGCAAATTGGGTAAATCCGAGAAAAATAAAGAGGACTTTTATAAACAAAAGATCGTAAAAGTCGAAAAGAGGGAAATGTGTTTATAGACAGCTACAATAAAGTACTTGCAGCAAATATTTTGGATTTTTAAGGGGTTCTTTAAAAACATTGTACTTTAACTTTTGCACCTGATCATTCCTGAATTTTTATTAAATAAAAGGTGTTGTGCCCAGGCGATCGGATAGTTTATACGATAGTGAAAGTATCTTTTAAAATATTTTCATATCTATTCATTGTTGTTTCTGTGAAAATTAAGATTGATAAAATGTTATCGAGTCACGTCTGTTTGCGGGGAGATTCCCCCTCCTGAATATCTGCCAACAAGTCACCGCTCCAGCTGGGACAGGTTCCGACTGGCCTCCTGTCATGTGTGTTATTGTACTGCATGTAAGTGTATGTTCAAGAGGAGAGGAGAGGACAAGAAGTAGGAAGGAAAGGTCTCAGGCGGTCCTTCGCGCATTTGGCAAGGTACTGCTCCGACATTCGCCTGATGTTGATCGAATTAACCAAGGAATTAATCAGAGCAGCCGGCTGTTAGTATCTTCCTCCAGTGTTCGAATTCGGTTCAGCTATCTAGCTAGAATTGAAAAAAAATCAACGTTGACTCTCGGACCCCAGAACCTCCCAATGAGAGACGCTACAACGGCAGTTAGCTTCAGCCAACGCAGCCGTTGCGATATTTCGAGGCGAGGATGTTACGGCAATACCACCTT